TTGCATGCCGTACTTCGACGGTGTACATGTAAAGATACATGTTTAAAGTTATGACATTATACCATCAATAAAAACATTTATCATATTAATGAATTCATATGCCTTATTTCAAATGTTATTTGTCATTGCTTACTAGCTTTGTTCAAAACATATTTTTAGTTGATACATTATTACATATAGTACAGTATTTTGGAATATCATTTTGGAATATTTTGTGAAACAATTGGATCCTGATTTGGTTCTCACTTCAAATGTTTATATCTTCTCACTTCTCACTCATTAAGTCAAGATCAATGTCTTGCAAACATATCAATTTTCTCAGTTCCATCAAAGTACCTAGCTTCCAAGAAAAGAGAAGAGTAAATATTTATTGTTATGTTACAGAAAAACTGAGCTTGTCACAATCAATAATGGTATCAGTGCACCCTGACTTATTCAAGAACTATAGAATTGTGAATTTATGATATGAAATTTCACATTAGAGAATAGGAGGCATTCCTTTACCCTTGGATCAAGACCCTAAAGACTTTTGCATTACGATTATTAAGATTTCTTGCATTAAAATTCTTAAAATCTCTGACATTAAATTCCTTAAGATCTCCTGCATTACAATCATTAAGATCTCTTGCATCAAGATCATTAAGATCTCTTGCATCAAGTTCCTTAAGAGCTCTTGCATTAAGATCCTTAATAGGATCTCTTGCAATAAGATCTATCCTCTCTGCATTCTGAATTACCAGAGTCTTTCTCCATCCCTCTAAAGCTTAGAAGCTTATAAAGCTCTAAAGTTGGAGGCTGTGGGATCCACAGAGGAGAAATTCTGGTTCTAGTGCCATGCTCACCTAGTCACGAAATATGCCCACCAGTCTATGAGAGTATAACATGTACATGTGGTGTCAATGGTGATCACACACTCTCAATGGGGAAGAGAGAGAGGGGTACAGGGTCGTAATGCAAGACTAGCATTCCTATCAACACTTTGTATAAAATACAATAAGCCAGTATGTTAAAAATAATGAAAAATTGATGATTTCTAATCACCACTCTCTAAATAAGACAAAATGAAGCTCTATCTCTATTTCAAAGAAGAGAAATCAAACTATTTAATCTAACTGAAAAGGGCAAAAGCATCAAGAAGGTAGCTGTTGTCCATGAACCCATCTTTTTGAGATGGTAAGTCAAGAATTAAGTACAGTCTCTGTCTGCAACTTGGACATGAAGGAGATGTGATGATCTATCAAGATGACAGTAAGAGACTAACAGTGAGAGAGGAGTAGGGGGTTGAATGTCATCTACAGGTAAAACTTGATTGATTAAATCAAATACTGTACAGACATCCTAATAAAATAGCAGCATTTAACATGATTCAGCAATCCACTCTTATTGATATGATGGACACCTACCTACAACAGCACTGAGCCCCTTATGTATGATTTGGACTTTTATATATATACTATCACAGTCAGTGGCGTAGCGTCATATACGCATAAAACGCTATAGCGTACTCTCAAAGTTTAGAGAAAAGTGAATTTTTTGATATTGAAATGACCCACGTTTAATATTCTGAAGTAATGGCCTAACATTTTATTAATCCATATTATTTTTTCGTAGTCGGAATTTCGGATTTTAAAACGCCCCAAAACGCTTCAAATGCAATCTAATTTTTTCAAATTTTCTTGGGGGAAAGAACCCCCCCCTCGTGGCGTACACTCATAAAATACCCACACTACGCCACTGACAGTAACAAAATCTGTTTATAAAAAGACACATATTATTAATGAATAACACAATTGGAAAGCAAAATGGCAACCTTATAAATTATATTATCGCGTTATTAACTCAATAATGTTTGGAGAACATCTGTAAGTTTCAAGAAGATCGGTCCAGTAGTATTGAAATGGCAACATCTTTGACTTCTGGATCACCCTGTATCTAACATACCCAAAGCCTAATATAAAAAAAAACCTAGTCTGCTTTTTTATCTCTATAAATCTCAAATAACTAAATTACTAACAAGATTTCTCATGGGCCAAGCCTACACACCCATCAGTACAAGACAACACTGAAGTAACTTTTAAGTGTCATAAAAAGGGCGATGACTTATAAAAGGGACTGAAGTGCCTTTTAAGTGTCATAAAAAGGGCAATGACTTATAAAAGGGTGATAATCATACCAATTGGATTAGTGAAACTGTATTACGCAAGAGAATCATTAATGAAGAACTTTTTCCTTTTATAAACCTTTTAGGTTGAAACCTGCAAATGTGAATTATTGCTACATGTCAATATATTCAGGATCTTGATGATGTTAAAAGTTCTGTCACAAACAAACATCAAAATGTTTTTATGAATGATTTGACATTTTAATGTACTTCTGTAAATTAATCAAGATTAATCAAGACTGCTAGTTCAGAAAAATATTCTTCGAATGATCACATTTATTCATAAAGAACATGCAATAAAGATTGGATAACTATTATATCTGTTTTTAAATCATATGCATAACAATTAACAAGGGTATAAAACTATCCTTTTCAATAATCTTGTCCTATTGACAGGGTAGTTGTTTTTACTATTTTCTGGGCTTAAACTATGATGAAAAAATATATAACTTAGAAATCAGACTGAATTGTGAAAAAGGGTTATGATTTGAGAGGCAAGAAAAGAAATAAGTCCCTGGGACGTTAAGTGTAATTAACGAGCAATTGAAGCAGAAAATGTCACAGAATCAACCGCTATAGTTGGAAAAATCTAATTCTCATGCAGTTGAAGGACGAGATGTCTGCAACAGTTAACTTAGGGGAAATCAAACTAATATGTTTTACTTTTAAACCAATCAACTTGAGTCAGATTTTTTCTTGTAAGGACATACATCTACCAAAAAATAATGAGTATTTCCAAACAGATGATTTGGGAATATATATGTATAATTATCTAATTAGATTTTATTACCCCGATGCCCAAAACTAAGATCAAACTATTGAAAAGACAATCTGTCATATTTCATTAGACAGAGAAAAAAGATTGGCTAATGTCCAATATAATATTTTATTAAGGAGGAAACAAGAACACAAATGTGTACAAAATGTCCCCACCTATGGGTGATCCTGTCAAATGGTTATCCTAAAAATGAGTAGACAAGACTTTACCGACACAATTTGATGACAGAAAATCCAAAATGGCCACCTTAAAATTTACCTAGAATGCCAAAAAACTAATCAGATCTAGATTTTCATACTAAGAATCATCCCTGAAAATTTGAAATTGATCTACAAAACGGTTCACCTAAAAACGCGTAGACAAGACTTTACGGGCAGGATTTTAAGACGGAAAATCCAAAATGGCTGCCTTGGCATTTATCCAGAATGCCAAAAAACTAATCAGATCTAGATTTTCATACTAAGAATCATCCCTGAAAATTTGAAATTGATCTACAAAACGGTTCACCTAAAAACGCATAGACAAGACTTTACGGGCAGGATTTTAAGACGGAAAATCCAAAATGGCTGCCTTGACATTTATCAAGAATGCCAAAAAACTGATCAGATCTAGATTTTCATATTAAGAATCATCCCTGAAAATTTGAAATTGATCTACCAAACGGTTCACCGGGAAATGCGTAGACAAAACTCTACAGACAAGATTTTACGACGGAAAATCCAAAATGGCTGCCTTGGCATTTACCCAGAATGCCCAAATACTAATCAGATCTAGATTTTCATACTAAGAATCATCCCTGAAAATTTGAAATTGATCTACAGAACTGTTCACCTGGAAATGCGTAGACAAGACTTTACAGACAATATTTTAGGACGGAAAATCCAAAATGGCTGCTTTGACAATTACCCAGAATGCCAAAAAACTAATCAGTTGTACATTTTCATATTAAGGATCATCCCTGAAAAATTGAAATTGATCTACCAAACAGTTCACCTGAAAACGCATAGACAAGACTTTACAGACAAGATTTTAGGACGGAAAATCCAAAATGGCTGCCTTGACATTTACCCAGAATGCCAAAAAACTAATCAGATCTAGATTTTTATACTAAGAATCATCCCTGAAAATCAAGAATTGATGCACCAAACGGTTCACCTGAAAACACGTAGACAAGACTCCACAGACAAGATTTTAGGACGGAAAAATGGCTGACAATAAAAAAGTGATCATGAGTTTTTGCTGATTTCTTTTTACAAAATTATCACATATAAATACTGTTAACAACAACATAGGCTTTAACAACAAAGTACATCTGAAATTATTTATAAAGCTACTAAATAGTTAGAATATGAAAACTCAAAAACACCATTCAATATGATACAAAGTATTATCGTGCGCTAACTTTTCTTAAGACATTCAAAATGGCTGACATGACTGAGCTAACAGGTCCAAAACCTAATCAGATCTAGAATGAAGTGAGTTGAACAAGATGTTAAAGTTTTAAAAGCAACTGTGAAGCCGTTTTTCTTAAAGTTTGCAGACAAGGATTTTAGCATTTGACTTCAAAATGGCCGACAGGAAGTAGGTATCGAGTTAATTTTTTTTCATCCACATCTGTATGCACTCATAAGTTATCCCTGAAAATTTGAAGGTGATATCTGTAGCGGTTTTGGAGAAAACTCCCGGACGTACGGACGGACAGACGGACGGACGGACAGACAGACGGACGGACAGACGGACGGACGGACGCGCCTAGGCCGACAATATGGCCCCACACTATGTGGTGGGGACATAATAAAACCAAAACACTTTACCTGAGGAAATGCTAAGGTGAACTTTGAAATGTATTTCTCTCTTCCTGAAGAGTTCACCTTATATTACCCTTTATAACAGTGACCAACATCTCCCTCTTAAAATATCCCTTAAACTGAATTCAAATCTGGGACAATCAGAGACAGAACTCTATTTTCAGAATCTAAAGGTGACAAAATCTGACAGAATCAAGATTTTAATGTGGGTTTGAACTTAAGTATGTTTCTTTGATGATCTCTTGTTGGCCAAATACAACAATGTTAAATAATTGGACAGAGGGGGGTATACTACTAGCCAATAAGCTCAGGATAAATCCAGTAATGAAACACACTGAGGAAATTCTTTCACGTTCAAGAAAAAAACTTGGAATTCCAGTATATATTTAGGAAAGGCAACTCAAACTCATCCATTGACCTATATGTCAGTTATAATAAATGTTACCAATTCAATAGCTCTCGAAAGTCATCCCGACCTTAACACAGATAAATATAAGAGTTACTTCTGAGAATGTTCTCAAAATGAAGATTTGAATTGCAGAGATTATAGGACATGATTAAGGTCAGGGTGCATGTTCGGAAATTTGCTGCAACCCTCAATAGGGTCACATGTTATTTTTCAAATTTGAATCACTCCTTCCCCACAATGTCTACATCTCTAAGTTTTGCACAACAAGTGCACTAATGTACCAAGAACAAAATGTAAAGAAGAATGTTTTGATAAAATGTATAAAAAACAAGAAAATTCAGAGAAAGAATTCAGAAAATTTTCAAAAATGTTTTTCACTGAATTTTTCTCATTTTTTAGACATTTTACAGAACAAATCACCAGTCTTTTCTAGGCACATAAGTACACTCTTTGTGCAAAACTGGAAGATGTAGACAGTCTGTGGAAGGAGTGATTCCTGTTTGAAAAATAACATGTGACTCAACTAAGGAATGCAGAAAAATTCAGAACATGCACCCTGGCCTTAAGATGAACATACATTGTGGACAAGTAAATTTTAAACTGCGTATAATGGTTAATGAATTTGAAGGAATAAGATTAATAAAAGTTATAATTTACTTGAAATTATTTCATCAATCGCATCTGTTGAGATCAACAAAGAACTATATTTCCGTTACAGATCTCAAAATAGCAACTTATTAGCACCTATCTCTTGCTAATTGCTAGATGATACTTGTCTACATTTAGCCTCCTTACTGAAACTTCCCACTCTAAACATTTCATTTGAAAAAAGTTGGCTTGACATAACGCAAAAATAAATAAAAAAAATCATTCACGAAGCTAGTTAGTTTAGATTTATGTGTATGCCATTTAGAAATAGAAACAAAAATATATAATAAAAAGAAACAAATCATTTCAGCATTTATTTATCTGGCATTCTGCATTCTAGGAAACTGTTTATCCAGTTGGCTTATTTACATGTGTATAGGTATCCTCAATATGGTAAAATAGATTCAATAGTCCATAATTAAAACGTATGTATTTCTATTTATTCTATGATGATTTTTTTCCTTTATTTTATTTAGGTCTAAAGTTGACTTGTGTGAGTATATCTTGTTTTTCATATTTAATGAATTGGTTAATAAGTTGGTTTTTTACTTTGATCAGTGTTACAGATAATTTATTCAGTTGTCATTATCACACAAATGTTAAGAGCTTAAAAGATTACGGTAATTCCAATTTTAAATATATGGTTTTGACATCAAAAGTTACAGTCATCTTGTACCATAGTAACCATTATTTTTGACCAATCAAATCAGGGTGTTTATATTTTATGAAACAGTAACAAGATATTTTTGGAGGTTATGTGAAAATTTCATGAAAAAATATTAAAAACTTTTGAAAAAAGAGCATTTTCCCAAAAACTTATTGAACGACCTGGTACTTAAATGATAATTACCATAAGATTACCAACTTTCTAATATTCATATAACAAAAATTAAGATAGAATTAAAATGAGGAAATCTTCATTTGCACTTACCTGTCATGGTATGCCAGGTACACATGGATTGTTTAGCCAGAACTGATGTATTAGGACTCAGGTATGTAGCTATCTACATACAGTGTTATGCCTTACTGACGTAATTCCTCTAGCGATACATGCTAGAAAGCCTAACAGCTGTACAGGTGATACACAGATAGCTACCCTGAATCCTAACTATTTAGTCACACTAACCTCTTACAATCACAAATGATTTTACAGTTTTCATGTTCTTAGGACATGTTGAGAACAATCTAGCTTTCATGACATTTTACGGGAATTTGAAAGTGACAAAAATGCTCCTTATAAGCAGATGATATTGTAATATGATATTTTGACTATTTTGAATAGCATATAACCTTGAACTGTCTCCAACTAAGAGTGCATGAGAAGTCTGTTTCTTGTAAAGGGTAATAGATAGCCCAAGAGATTCCTTGTTAACCTAACATTAAATACCAGCCTTATCAAGAATCCAACATGGAATAATATGGAAACGACAGGAATGAACTAGTTATACAAAAACACTCAACAGTTGAAATAAGCATGTAATATTAGTTTTTTATTAATTATGTATAAAATAATTCCATTTTGAACAGTAGGTCTAAAATCCTAATTCTTTATAAATTTTACACGAAAGTATATTATATTTATTTCATGTTATAAAGGACTGAAACTTTAAAAAAGTGTTCCACTAATGCCTAAGTCACATTTGCTCAGATTTTGCTGGCGCCCTGCCGATTGAGCATTTTGTTCAAAATTGAAGGTCAAATCTCTAATTTGAGGTCAGAAGTGAATCATGAGAACTTCTACATGATTTATAAAAAGTTTGGTCAAGTTTAAGCAAGCTGAAATCAGTTTTGAACAAAATGCTGCAATCAGCCAGGCGCTGGCCGATAAATCGGAAGCAAATGTGACCTAGGCATTACAGAGGTGCTCTACTTCTAGAGATGCTCCATACAGGTTTCATTGTATTGTATTTAATTCCAAAATTACTTTTTCATATGCAAGAGCATGTTAGTAGGATGGTAACTTTAATTGTTCAATACTGTTAAAATACCTCTCAATACTGACACTACATTGATCAATAAATCAATAATCAAACATTCAATGTCACATTGCTATTATGTTTACGATTTTAGAGGTTAAATAAAAAATTACAAGCTGATCACAATCACACATGTGTTACTGATGTAATAGCGAAGTCATATTTCATGTAATGTTATGGTATACAGTATTTGATGATAAGTTAAACTCCATAGATGTTACTATAATACTCCATCATGGTATTGGTAAACCATATGTTCCTTCTCCAGTTCCTTCTCAGGTGTATTCTGAAATTCATCACATCATCCTGTTTTCATATTAGCAATATAGATTGCTTCTTTTGTTTCACATTTGTGGATGGATGTTCAGTATTTTTGCATGATCTTTAACAAAAAAAACTATTCAATTTCGCAAAAATAAATCATTTTGTTATTAAAACATAAAACCAACTACTTTTAACAAAAAAATGAAATAGCGTCTTCATTGATAACAATTTTTCTTCCATGTTCATACCTGTAATATTTTGCCTCTCTTGACATTTTTTATTTATTTCAAGAGTCTGCGTCATCACTTCACTTCATTGAATTACAGTAGTGAATTGGGACTATTCTTGAATTATCTTAAATACAAATGTATTCCAATACAAGATCTTTATTTATCTAATCATAATCAGACATTGTATGTCATTCAATATGTTACAACTCCAATAACATTAATCTATGGACAACATAATATTACATAGTGGTAATATAAAAACTGTATGGAGCATATGAAACCAGGTCGAGGTGTCATATACCATATCCCAGAAAGATCTCCAGGAAGCATATATTACATATAGCTTGACCCCCAGGCCTTGACCATTCTCTCCTACAATGTGACTCTGACTCCAAACTACTGTCACCCTGTTCTCATAAATCTATTTATCTGTTTGGCCGGTTTCAGTCATTATTACGACTGTTGGGATGAGACATTGCCCAAAAGGGATACATCTTAATTTCTTGATTTCTTAAATGACAGATATTTGTTAACTGTGGTATTTACTTACTTAAATAAACTGGTATTTTGTCTGCTTAACTACTATAGCAATGTATTTTAAATTTTTTAGAGGTCCAATTTTAACAATGAATCACTTTATTTACATTTATCATTGTATTAACTTTATGACTTCATTTTGAACTTGAAATTGAATGGTGATGACTTGCACTTTGACTTTGAAAGTCTCAATTCTGAGATTTATGAACTTGTTTGAGAAGAATTAACAGAACAAATTGGGAATACAAAGATAATACAAAGACAAACACCATTATATCTAACAAATGATTGCATGCTTTAACATTATTGTTTAAGCAGGCTTATAGCAATGTAGCAACTCTTGGGTTTAACCTCTATAAAAATCAAATAACCGAATTGCTAGAACACCTGATGACACGGGTAGGTTGATACAGACTAATATGTGGCAAATTATCACAGGTTAGTGGCCATACTTTGGCAGTTTGCAGTTTAATTGGGACATAGATACTACACGTCTTGCTTCAAGACTGTAACCCCCGTCCCCCATGTACTATGTATTATTTACTTCACCTTGATCAACACATACTTCCTGCATCTTCCTTCATGAAGCTCCTGTCAAGTGTCAACCATCACTCCTGTGAATATCCCATGAATAAAGTGAAGGAGCTGTAGATATAATACACGATACAGACAAAAAGAATCCATCTATATCTCTTACACTTGAAGATTCATTCTCCTATGCAAAAATAGCATAAAAGGGTGTATTATTAACTCAAAAGGTATGAGATCATCTCCTTGAAGCAAATGTCATGATGCACTGCCATGACAAGGTTGAAAATTCACATCAAAATGATGAAGCTGACATTCGATGATGATCAACAACAAAAATAGAAAACAAATGATTTGGAGATTGTTCATTTTGATATGAGACATAAATGAAATTGCTTAATAGGCATTCCTGGAAGTTCAATTGAAAACCTCTGAGGTGCTCTATGTGAAAATGCAAGTGTTTATCACTTACCGTATCCTAGCTAATTGCACCTAAGTCTCTGTAATGGACACTAAAAACATGTACTTTACAAATACCTTATTGGAGATCAATAAACTGTCTACAGTCTGCAGTGTATTATTTATTGATCGTTCATTACACAAAATGAAATACAAATCCAAGTAAATATCAAACGTCTGGTTACTTTTTAAGTGATACAAGTAGTGACATCTCTTATTCTACAAGAAAGCGATTTTCTTATTTGTGTACTGGACAGAGTAAGATCGCTAAGGTAGAGCATTAATATCCTGGAATAATACCTGAAAAGGTAGAATGTTACCTGAAAAGGATGAAATGATACCTGAAAAAAGCAGAAAAATACCTGAAAAGGATTAAATGAGAAGTTTGTGAGAAACAGCATTATATTTCATATTAAATAACAATGAAAAAACGTACATGGCAAATGTTCAAATTATAATGTACTCGTACTTTGCAGTAACACCATTCATTAATTTGACAGCTTCTTCCTCAACTTCTGAAAATGCATCCTGAAAACATGCATCTGGAATAATTCTATAACCAATAATAGTTATATAATGTGAGATGATCAGAAATTAGCATGCAAAATATTACAGTAGTATTAAGGTAAATTGACACAATAAAGCCATATGTGTTGAGAATTGAGAATCAAAGAATGGGGAAAATGTGGCTTTTTGTTATACTAAAGTAAAAAGAAAATTGGACCAAGAACTCGTATAGATGGCAGTTCACAAATGTTCTCTATTAGGGTGTTCTTCACACCAGACCAGTAAATGAAATGAAATCAATATCAAACGTTGCCTCATGATTATTTACAAGCATGTTTGAAGAATAAATGTCATATGGTTTTGGATGTTTTCAATGAAATTTATCTTGAAAGATTTTTGAAGCAAGTTTACATGTTAAGTCCTTAAGTATTTTATTAGACCCACATAATTCTTCGTCATCTATTGAAAGTCCATTTCACAATCAATTCGAAATCATTTATCTTCTCCAAAAGCTAATATATCACAACCAATAGAATAAAATAATTATACAGCATTCACTACAGATAAAAGGATGGCAAAATGGATAGACATGGGGCAGGATTTAAATACCATAAAATAACTATCCTCTCTGTGTTATTTTCTCAAGCACAAGGGAAATAGATGCAAAAGTGGCACGCTTGGCCTGGGAATGGACAATTACTTATTTACTTACCATGCTTGCGGAGAGTGATGGGGCAGAAGAGCCAAGGTTAGAGCTCCTCATACGAACAAGATTAGACGTCTCCTCCCTACCGCTACTGCTACTAGATCCTCCTACAATGACATTATTTTTAATGTGGATGACATATGTATGCAAAACCCTTACACATGAATGTTATAAAAGTCCTTTTATAGAAAAAAGTTATATTATATATATATATATATATATATCATGCCCGAAGCCAGAGGGGAGCGGAAGCCAGAAATTTAAAAATCATGCAGTTTTTCACCATTCTGAGCACTTTTCACATCATGAATTGCTGCCTTCTGGCAAAAGCTCTCCCTCGGTAAATCAAGGCATGCATATGCATAAACATGCACATATATTATTATTTTAATATTATGTTAAGAAAATATGATTATTGAATTATTAGTGATTTCTAATGTTCTAAAACGATCCTGAACCTCAGAAGATCATCCATAACCCAAAAAATGTTTTATTGTGACGTAAAATCAAGATCTAACATTTTATCAAATAACGGACTGATGTGAACAAAATGTGGCAAAGAGCTTCATTTCATTTATACATTTATTTTGAACTACAATTGCTACATTAATATCTCAACGTACATGCCAAGCATGAGAAATCCTTCAAGATAAAACATAATTTTTATTTTCCAGAAAACAATGTAATTGGTATATATTTAAAGAGATATTGAACTACAATGTACCCTCATTCATTACTATACCAGGCAGATCTTCCCAGATCCAGGCTTCAATAACTATCAATTACATCTTACTTACATTATCACTACAATTTAATAGCTATGTACCAGATACACCACTAAACATGTTTTGCTTAACAAAGTAATTTTAGCATTTATTTTCCTTATAAGAAAATATAATACTATTATGATGACATTATATGATCCCCCACTGACAAAATATCCTACCAAAATGTAATATCATTATATAAGCCATTATGTAATATACAATGAAACCTGTGTTACTACAATGGCTTTTGGTATCTCAAAATATTTTTTCTATTGGGATATGGTATACTACACAGAGGTGTTCCACTATAAAGGTTTTGCTGTATCATTACAAATTATCGCCTACTTCGCTTATGTATTTATATCTAGAAATAAATGAACAGATTTTATATAGGTATGTGTGATTTTAAATAAATTGAATAATCTTATTTGGAATTATTATTTTGTGAGTTAAAATCTTATTAATTAAGATGGCATCTCTTGAAAATAATATAAAAGATGTTGAAGAACACATTGGTGATTTAATTGTAAACTTTGACTAGAATTTTTCACTCCCTTTAAGATCCATATTTTAATCAAGCTCTATTGTTAATTATCTCATTTAATCAATTTACTACAGATAAATGTTATTAAAGTTCAATTTAAATCTTGCTAATACCGCTTAATGTCAGGTTGGCCTGATTACTTTTACAACATAGCAATTTCATTGGCCTTTTCTATATTTTACACACAATAAAAGTGACTCATTCGGCAGGCTACTATAGGTATTTTAAGTATAAATCACAAAAGATGGCACTCCATGTACATGTAGATATTCTGAAATAAATGGATAAATTCACAAATAACCTAAGTAAATCTAATATAAAAAACCCTTGAAAGAGAGATAAACTTGATCTCACTCTTTAATTGACTGACCAACTGTCAATCAGCCAATCAGGGCCTACTATCATTTAGCCAAGGTGGTTTTTGTATAGTGTACTTCATACTCTCAATCTCAAATCTCGCATTTTTCTTGGTGGCTCCTAATCATTTGAGAGTCAAACTATATAGAAAGATTGATCATAGTGAGAGGGCAGGACACAATTTGCTCAGAGTACAGAGACACATTGTTCATTAATCATGAAAAATGACAAAAAATATGTGTAACCCCTGTAAGTAATTGGAAAAGTAATACTCTAATTGTCATGCTATTATGAAGTACGTCTCATATGAATTATCATTAGATTTTATGATACTATACAATATATGTAATTCATAGTAATAGATCGAGTCATATTTATTTTTATTATTTATTTATTTGGATTCTATGCTTTTGTATCAGCGGCACAACGATTGTGTGCATCTATTTGAACATTTACATATTGTGATTTATATAAAGACGTATTTAAAACCAGACATATGTTTTATTTATAAAATCAGCAATTTTTAGGGACATAAAAAAATAGAAAATCTCATATTTTGATACTCCTCATGCCATCACATGATTCTCTGTTGAAACACAAACAGTACTTATACATTATGTAATATTTATTTATCATAAAATTCTCATAATCATTTGAGACATTATTTGATTTACTTATTATAACATAAATTGCAATTGCAAGACTAAATTCATGAGAAATCAATCGCAATTCAAGATTCTACAAATTTGCAAATTGGAAATTCGAATCTGTAAACTGGGAAGAGGGATACAGTGCAGGGGTTTCACTAGCACCAGGCTACAGACGATTTTCACCGATTGTTTTCACAAAATCACCTGTTGTTTTTAGGGACTTTTCAACTTTTCCATGTTAAATTTATGATTTCCATTAATTTTGCACGTTGTTTTCATTTATTTAGCCTGTTGTGAGAAATTCTAGTGAAACCGCTGGATACATATTTGCACCTAAGACTGATATCAATATGCATATCAACGATACTTTCTGCAGAATATTTACGAGAAGATTAAGCTCCCCTCTAGGTATCCAATTAGGAAACAGATATTTAATAAAGAAAGTGCATCATAAGATCATTTGAGCGAAAGATATATTTCTGCTATCTAGAGATATCAATTATTCTCTAATTTAAAGGCTTCTGACATTTGCCTTAATGGTAGTGAAAACAATGTAACATTTTCTCACCCCGGAAAGATTATTTGAAAAACATAAAATTCATACTTCTAATGAAGGATCATTATCTAATGACTAAATAATATCGTTAAAGGAAGAAACTCAGAGAGTGAGAGAATTGGAAGGCCATATTGAAAATTTCTCCTGGAATAGAGGTTCTATACCCATATGGCATCAGCCTATAATTTGAACCTAAGTTGCCAACCAGTATCAATGATATATTTTTCATTTAAAATTGAGGGACCATATTTAAAATTTCTCCGGCTAATCAACAGTGCTTCTTTGTCACTTTACTTTGTCAATTTATTTAAAATTGCACATGGCATCAGCCTATAATTTTAGCCTATGTTGCCAGCCAGTATCGATGATATATTTTTTATTTAAAATTGAGGGACCATATTGAAAATTTCTCCGGCTAATCAACAGTGCTTCTTTGTCACTTTACTTATTTGTCAATTCATTTAAAATCACACAAACCTACATATAAAATCTGTTCATGTGAAATCTAAGAGGTAAGTTCAAAACAACAACCAACCTGCCTGTGCCATATGCACGAGCCCCAGAGATTGCGACAGGTGTGACATCTGACCAGCTGTGGGGGAGACAGGCATGCTCCCCCGTCTTTTATGCCTAGCATCCTCTACAGAAAGTGTCCTATGTAAAAGCCTACTCCTAGCCAGTGATATACCCCCACCTGAGTGTGTGTCGTCGCGTGCCTGCTTGAATGGGTTGCTATTGGAACCAGGGTTGGGGGAAAGGATTGGAGAACTTGAGGTGCCATAGTCAGACTGAAAAAACAAAAAAAGAAGTTCATTTACGGTATTAGTAGTACTAGTTTAGAGGGCTTATATTTTACTTTATCCTACACTTAGTGTACTAAATGTATAATAACATTAAAAAATAAATTTGATATTTATTGGCAAAATGAATATCCGGAGGATATCGTAACGATATACTCCGGGCGGAGGATATCGTGACGATATACTCCGGAAAACCCAATATGCGGAGGATATTGTGACGATATACTCCACTTGTTGATTTCCCGCCAAATTGACTCTAATTGGCATGGAATTCATTTTGCAATGATATTATACATTAAGTACACTCTTTGTAAGTGTAGGATAATAAGAACATCCTATGATTTTTTTCAGAATATCATTTTAATCTACTCGGTGATATTGATAAATGCACTCGTTCGCTTCGCTCTCTCGTGCAGATATCAATATCACCTCGTAGATAAAAATGATATTCCTCAAAATCATAGGATATCCTATAAATATTGACCTGAGCAATACGTGACATCATAGTGGGCCGTAGTGGTAGGCCAAAATGGATATTTCAGCCAGGTAATTATACATGTTTATCCAAAGGCAGATTAAAATGATATCCTACACATGAAAATATATTGATAATGCATCTTAGCATTTGTAATAAATATAGCATATTGCCAAGAGAAATCTATTGTTTTTTTAAATATAAATCACACTTAAGAGGAAGAATCAGATCTATGGGGGTGACAAAATTACATGCAACATGTGCAATTGACATAGCGATCTATTCCTTACAATCTCAAATACAATATCTCCCAAAAGATTCACACAAAAGAATGGTAAGCATTTTTAGAGAAAAATAATAAGCATTCTTAGAGAAAAATAATAAGCATTCTTAGAGAAAAATAATACATTATTGTAAAAATCTTTGAAATAAAAATGAAAATAAGATTAATATAAATGAAATAAAATGTGCACTTTGAGGATTTTTAGAAAATACACATAAAAAGGAATGACATAAACCAGAAATATATATTTTTTTTTTTTGGCTTCTCGCTAGATCTGATTCTCTCTTTAACCTCACAGATGTTGGCCAGATTGTTTTGTAGTAGGATCATAGGCTCAAAGAATAATTCACAAGATACGACACTAAATTGGAAAATTTCAAAAAAAAAATTGACCACCTTTCAAAATGTTCCTTATACAAAACGGTACCTGCTTCCCTGTGACACAGATTTTGCACTTATTTTATCGCTGAGATCTTCATCTTTCTATTTCTACTTGTTTGGTTCGAGTAAATAACCTATGGATGCAGTTATTTGACTTTTAATACGGCGAATATTTTTCACGAGATCCGGACTCTTGTGTGTCCAAATATCATTGTACTGATGACGTCACATTTCTGGAACCACGGGAGCAACATTCAGATTTGGACAGACAACAGTCCGGCGATAAAATATCACTGTTTTGGCCTCTTATCAACCCAGTATTGCTTGAATAATGGTCATTGGTGATAAAAAAGTTAAAGAATAACAAGACGCTTCGAATGAGGTATGATTTGTCACATATTTTTCAGAAATGGCTCCACAATCGTCATTTTAAAATTTTCCGAGGTGTCTCATCTTGAGGAATATTTATTGAGCTACTGATTCTACTACAAAATAATCTTGCCGGGATCTATGTTTAACCTTAGGATATTATTCTCTAAAAAATAATGCTTCATTTACCATATTCATGTTTTTATTGCTAAGCAATCTGTATCAAGTCAACAATTTCAAAATGATGACATAATGAATCTTCATTATCAGCTTTCATATTATTTTTCTTATCAAAATAACCCAAATTACAAATATTTCATTATTATGAAATCATTATCTAGTAAATTCATTAATGAAGGTTTTCGAAAACAAATGAAATGGTCGAGAAATGTCTCCTTGCGGTTAAATATACTGTCAGTGTGTAATTTATTGAACTATAAATAGTCTACTGATATCTTTTCTACAACTTTTATCTTAATGAACACATAAACAAATGAGAAAAGAACACCAAGTATAATAGGTGGTGAAACTTGAACAATGCAGTTCAACTAATGATTTTCTGTAAATTGCAAAAGAAGAGCTATTTGATACAATGTATTCAACAATGCAATTATAAAGTCATAATAATGATCAGCAATAATAAAAGCAATGATAATCAACTCGAAAAAAGAGAAAAAATGGTAAACATGACTTCATATAAAATCTATAGTGGGGAATTTGTTCTTTTAAATAAGTTTTATTTTTCTACTTAAGTCTACATAGAGGTAGATAATTCCTTGGGGAAATCTTACTGAATATATATTGCATCAGTAATTTAAACAACTAATTTGTAAATAATTAATATCAATTGATTCTTCACTACAAAACATGCTACCCCGATTCTAAAAGGTGTGACAATGTAATAAAATATTGCCGAGTTATCAATAGGTACCTATATAACTGTGACATCATCCATAACAATCAATAAAATAAATATGATATCAATTCAGGAAAAAGTATTCCTTGACATCAGAAATTGTATTAAACTTGACTATGTCTCTTAACATTTCTTTCAATACTGATAAGTTCTAACCTTGGTACACCCGAGGTCAAAGGAGGCAATCTGTTAAATTCATTAAAATTTCTTTCTTCATCATGGGATCCCTAAATATTTACTGAATACTAAATACTGTATGTCCAAGCCATTCGCTTGAAAGCATCCTACAGATATGATCTCATTCATTTAGTTTAGTTAGCAAAATTGATTTTTGAGCCAATGTTACGGTATTGAACTAGACAATGTTTATACGCTTGACTAACTGCAAATCCAATAGTAAATCACAATGTCATCCTAGAACTTTGAGAAATACTTGTAGAGGATAATATTGAACAAATATTTCACTCTTTTGAGGTGAATACCTGTACATCTTTCACAAGTGATATTCCACGAAGCCCGAAGGGCAAGTGGAATATCACCTTGTGAAAGTGCTACAGGTATTCACCGAAAATAGAGTGAAATATTTGTTTTATTATATCACTGTCTAGCTTAACATCCCTAATATTATTAATTCATTAAGTCTTCAGATATTTTTACGAATCTACTCGGTTCGTCTGCCATTTTGACTTACACTGAACTAAATTATTTACACTGAACGAAAACAAATTCTTTGAAAATTCCCGGGAGCATGGGATATCGCTAGATATCTCACGGTTGTCTTATCTGATTAGCATTCCCATTGAATATCGCCAGATATCCCACGACATGTGACCCGGTTTTGACCAATCATACTGTCGCTAGCTAGATAGTGATATAATAAAGAGTTTTATCGTATGATCTGTAAAATGAAGCCTTCTGATTGGTCAGTTCTTGTGCTGTACCAATCTGTATTGCTACTGAGATTGTCCCCATTGAGCTTCATACAAAACAGCCCCCATGTTCTATGTTGTTTCAAAAATGTAGTTTAGTTTATAGATGTTTGAGAATGGAGGTAATATCAGATTGATGCATCGGCCATTAACTGTAACATAATTTGTATAATATCATAATCCATCAATTTTTTACATACACAACCTCTTGTAAAACATTTAATAACAAACTTTACTACAAACAAAATACTAATTTCAGAGATCACCAGACAATTTACAATTCTTTTTTGTGCAACGGCACTTTGTGAGATTCAATTAGGTGTAAAAACAAGTCAGTGACTCCTGGTAGAATAATTCATAACTCACAATGATAAGACAAATGTTAATGACATATCTCTATTCATCATCTCTTGGCAGCTATTGCATATTTAATCTAATAAACCTTATCAGTTAAAAAAGATCCTATAACTCATATTGTTCAATATGATTGAAAAAACAACATTTATGGTGTATGTATTGTTATGAATTAACCGAAGGTTCGATGAGGGAATATCTTTCAATGACCAGACAAAAGGTAAGGGGTCAATGTATACTTTAAATGCAAGGCATTAAAAGACAAAATGTCACCACCTTCCATTTGTTACAGACACTGACTGCAAAACTCCAACTGCTTAACACCAACCATCTAACACCATCCACAAAAAAGTTGGAACTTTAATAATATGTCACAATTTTCTGGTGGTGACATAATAACATAATAATTAACTCCTGACTTTGATATAACTTAAAACCTATATAACCTTACATACTGTACATTGTGTACAAACACATTTAAAAACCAGTAACATGACCCATATTTCCAGGTGACTGACAAGACAGAGTATCAATAAAAGATAACATTTTTAAATTTTCACTAAAAATAATATTATAAAATGATCTTACAATTATAAACATTATTCCAGATATGTTACAGTGCTCATCTTGTGATAGTGTCTTCTTTTTTAGAAATGGTCTTATTCTCGCCTTTCTTTGTCTTTTATCCATTTCTTTATCTAGTTTATCCTTCGCCATCGTGGTATCTCCAGTAGTAAGGCACCTATAAACACTGCGCCTGTCCCTGTAGCTGTACCTATTTTAAGGTGATAATACCAATGCGTCATCGTACTATTTAGCATGGGTTAATTGTTGATGATATATGGCACTGATGTAATCAGCACTTATCCCTCCCATTCTGTCATAAAGACTAATTTCAGAATATTGTTTATGGATTTTGTCTGCTCTCTCTCTCTCACATATCTCATATACCTAATGTATATGATATCATACCATCATCATCTGACAAAATAATACTACGCTAATATGCTTCACCATTTCCAAGCTACATGGTCCCAGAACACTGTTGAATAACTTCTAAACAAAGCTCAGGACAGAATTAGAGATGATACTAGATAATTAGATGCTCCAACAAGTCCTAATATTACGTGTGCTAATTCACTCTCTCTTTCCAGGTACGTATGTAATCATCATTTTCTCACAATTTATTTTATCAAAGCATGAATTTCCTGGCTGTTCTAATGACTAGGTAGATCGAATTAAATTTCTACAGTATTATACATACTTTTAAATTCGATTCAAGTCTTTGGTAGCTCAAACCTATTTCTTACATACCCATCAAAGTATGTGTTATCTTGACCTGTTCCCTTCATGAGTTTTCTGTTTCTTTCTGATGTTACTGTATTTTACTGAAGAGAAGTCATATATCTCAATCTCCAAACCATGTAATTTTCTCCAGTTTTTTGTTCTGTTATTAGCCGCCAATTCATCTTCATGATAGATTAGCCAAATCAGGAATTAAAAGGAGATCTATGTTGGTTATCCAAAAATAGACCTTGGTTATAATGCCTTTATAAGCCGTTATCCTAAATATTTGTGATTATCTTGACTATTCCATGGTTATCACAAACATTCTATGATTGCACTGAATCCTCCACAGTTATATTCCTTTATTGCACAATCTTCTATATTCCATATTCAATAGTGATGCGTTTGTCATATGAACCGAGACAATAGTAGGAGCACCATCTGATAGTTATTCATGAATATATTAGTCTATAACCAGGGGTTTTACTAGCAGCAGGCAACAGGCGATTTTCACCGGTTGTTTTCACAAAATCGCCTGTTGTTTTTAGGGACTTTTCAACTTTTCCATGTTAAATTTATGATTTCTATTTATTTAGCCTGTTGTGAGAAATTCTATTGAAACCCCTGATAACATACATTTACTGAAGAATATCTGCGCTGCTGAGATTCTAACAAATGGTTTAAATTGTAACTGTCTACTTGATCTACTTGGCGCTGGTCAATAACATCATCCACATATGCTATATTCCCTCGACCAAGAAATGATGGATGACAGGACATTCTAATACTGTCTTGTTTTGTTAACGTTCATTATTAAATAAAGATATTTTAATTTGCTCAATATTATAATTCATGACATGGTTATATATGTATATGGTAAGAATTTCAAAAGAGATCAAATTTAATTCCTTCTATTGTAAAATGGATTCAGATTGACTCAAATCAGGCAATAATTGGACATCTTTTCTCATTATCTTTCTCATGGGCTTTTGAACAAAAATTTTAATAAGAGAATCCTGGATCCAAAACTTGTAACTTGCTAAAATCGATTTCTCTACCTTGCTAAAACCAATTTTCTTAATTAAAGTCGTTTTTTTACCCAACAGAACCCAATATGGGATCTACAGCCTGCACTATTCCTTGGAATACCAGCATTAGGTAAAGATGGACTCTGATAAATCAGAATGAACAGAACCAATTTTCAAACAAATTGACTCTGACATATTCTCTGCAATAAGAATGTATTGTAATATGAATTGGTATGCCTATTACAATAGTAATGTTGCAGATCTGAGAATTCTATCATACTCGAATATTCTATAATATCTAATCCTAAATATATGGACATTCTATAGTTATGTGTTTTGAAGATAGCCCTATATATCATGTAGGGAAACAAAAATAGACACAAGATTACTTTTTTAGTGTCACTCCCAAGTGACAGCTCACACTTGGGTGATCCGTTCATTGAAACTAAAATGGCTCCTATATTTCAGTCAGTAATAAAATCAAATTTAGCTAAATTTTTCAAATAAAGAAACATTGTTTCCATTAGTGAATCAAAATAGAAATATACTTGTAACAGCATAACCTATTAAAGAAAATATTGTTATGCATATACAGTAGAAAGGTTGCTCAATAAACATACAAACATAGTTATTTTGCGTTTCTGAAGGGATTGGTGGAAATCAAAGGAATTGTTATATTCGAGATAATGTAGGACTTCTATAAACTGAATTTGGTAGCAATTGCAGATAAAAGTAGCATTTTTATTGAACAGCCCTCGTATATAGTAAAAACCATGGTGTTGAACATTTTGCTAGGCTACTACTTTTCAATCTCTATCTTGCTGCCAGTGAAAAAATGGGTGAGTACCCGAAAGAGCATTACTCCTTGTGAGAAAATCATACTCTCTATCAGTAGTGTTGCCGCGATGTGCCATAATCATACACCGATGCATTGGCAATTTTCAGGAGTAAACATCAATGTATATCAGAATGTACATCGGGAAAAGATCAGAGAAAAAGTCCACTAAAATATCAAACGTTTATGCACTAAAATACTGAATGCAACAAATAAGTAATAGTACTTCGGTACTTCCGGTAACGATGACTGAAATTCAACTAAAAATTGGAGGTCATTGGTTCATTTCGGCAAGCTTAGACATTTTTAAAGTAAGAAAATATTAGAGAACATACGAAAATGAGCTACGGAATGAGAAATGTAAGACATTTGCGGGAAAAAGGGATAAGAAAAGATGATTTTTAGCAGATTCAATTTTTTTAAAACATCAATGTTTTGTTTCTAACATCGATGCATCGCCAGAATCACTTTTGGTGATGTTTATCACGATGTATCTAATAATCGCCACAACACTATCTATCAGTTCCTTTTTATATAGCTTTTTGAAATCAGAAAGATGTGATCAGAATAGATAGCATTCAGGAGGAATACCAGACGAAAATAAATAAAAAATGAGTTTCTCTTCGCCAAAGTTTCAAAAGCAATTTTTTGCAAAAATGTCCCGTGTGTAAGATAAAGCATAAAAACAGTCATTTCTATAAAAAATGAATACGTTAATAGCCAATTACTCTAAGTTAATTATCAAAAAAAAACGTTCAGTGTTCATATTCTAAAGCACATCTCTGACGTATTCTAAATTTTTCCACACAAGCCATGAAGAGTCCACTCTATTTTGTCTTTTACTGAGTGAAAATATCAGATTTTTTGACATTTCCATTTTTTACAAAACATTTCTCTCTCATCGTCCATGTTATGTTTTTAAAAGCATAGTATTGGAGATTTTTTCTGTGGGGAAGTTATTCCATATAGCTTAAATTTTGATGAGAGCGATGCAGCATGGGATTCATTAATCTTACTAATTTCCATAATTTGGCCATTAATGTCAGTAGAATTCACTATTCTTCATTTCCTAAAGAAATGTTAAGTAAATGAGAATGGAGGGAACTCATTTATCAGTGCAACATTCAACAGAAACACTTGCTTACGGTTTCTTGTATATTCCCTGAAAAGTAGGGTATTATTAATAATGACAACTGCAGTATATTTCAAATGAGAAAAAATCACAAAGGAATATAGAGGAGAGTAGCAAAGCATTCTCCCTCTAATTTCATATAGTTGAAACAATGGCCCTTTGCATTCGTTTGACTTCACTTCTTAAAAGAGAGCTTCATCTTCACTCTTTCAAACTAAAATAAACCTGTGAACTCACCGCGCCAATCAGTGTTCGTGACCGACGTTCTTTATATGGTCATTCCTTCTGACGTCATCGTTGAGCCCGGAATTGACCAATGACATGCGCATATTTAATTAGAACGCATTTGGCGTATGTTTCTTCAAGCTCGCTGATTGGTAGAAGGTCAGCGCGTAGGGCAAAAGTGATTTACCCAAACTGTCACCAGTACCCGTCGTGGGGGCAGGGCTACTAAACTGTAATATGGTCTCTACTAGGCAGAGTGTAGTTTAACTAGACTCTGCCAAAGGGTAGTGACTTCAAATGATCAAGACCAAATAGATATTACAAATAACTTAATTCTAATGCGGAGGTCACCCCCAATGACAGAAGAATGAATAACTGCAGCTATACATCAGAAAAAACAACCTGCCTTAATGTTTTATATGTTTAATAGTCCTATCAATCTTTCTAATATTTCCAATTTGAGATTTCTAGCAAGTGTATCATACCTTTTTCACATATATCATTTTTTTCCTTTTAAAGAGAACGTTGTCATCTACAGGTACAATAACTACTAGCATCAGGGTTGCAGTGTAACATGAGCAGTTGAAAAACCTATAAAACAACTTTATATCTTAATCCCAAATTTGTAGAAGGGATAATTTTTATTAAAATTGCAATTCTGATATTCTTCAAACCGATATCACTACCTGATTGCTTACCAAAAAGGAAGGACTCCTTTTAAAAAACAGTTTCTTACACTAAGAATTATACCCTATTGAGGATAAAATCATTTTTACAATAAATTGTAGAATGACCGAAAGGATTCAACTTGAAATAAATACCCATCCGCATTACTTTGAAAGTGCTTCCAAAAATGCCCATATGGGCCATATACTATATGAGCCATATTATGATAACATGGTATTCTGGTATAATATTTACTGCCACTGATGCCCTCTAACAAAAGTTAAGCCTTTACTTGCTTTTCAGTAGTTGAGAAAATGAGTATTTCACATCAGATCGTTAATCATTTAGCTACCAACGTATAGATGTCGCTAATAGTATTATACTACATACAGTACATACTAAATTATTTCAGATTTCTAATAGAGATTATAATACAGAGACATCTTTGAATTCACTATTTTATTTGCTTCTACTAATTGCCAATCAAGTCTACTAGATTCAACAGCCTCTACTATCTATATACTAATAAAGTCCTATCAATCTTTCTAATATTTCCAATTTGAGATTTCTAGCAAGTGTATCATACCTTTTTCACATATATCATTTTTTTCCTTTTAAAGAGAACGTTGTCATCTACAGGTACAATAACTACTAGCATCAGGGTTGCAGTGTAACATGAGCAGTTGAAAAACCTATAAAACAACTTTATATCTTAATCCCAAATTTGTAGAAGGGATAATTTTTATTAAAATTGCAATTCTGATATTCTTCAAACCGATATCACTACCTGATTGCTTACCAAAAAGGAAGGACTCCTTTTAAAAAACAGTTTCTTACACTAAGAATTATACCCTATTGAGGATAAAATCATTTTTACAATAAATTGTAGAATGACCGAAAGGATTCAACTTGAAATAAATACCCATCTGCATTACTTTGAAAGTGCTTCCAAAAATGCCCATATGGGCCATATACTATATGAGCCATATTATGATAACATGGTATTCTGGTACAATATTTACTGCCACTGATGCCCTCTAACAAAAGTTAAGCCTTTACTTGCTTTTCAGTAGTTGAGAAAATGAGTATTTCACATCAGATCGTTAATCATTTAGCTACCAACGTATAGATGTCGCTAATAGTATTATACTACATACAGTACATACTAAATTATTTCAGATTTCTAATAGAGATTATAATACAGAGACATCTTTGAATTCACTATTTTATTTGCTTCTACTAATTGCCAATCAAGTCTACTAGATTCAACAGCCTCTACTATCTATATACTAATAAAGAGACCTATTTAGATAAATAGGGAATCTGATAAATCTGAACAAATCAAGTCTACTATAAGTGAATATCTATGATACAATGCTACCCTAAAATAGCAAAAGTAAGGGGGCTCTGGAGGGGGGGGGGCTATACCTTTTCTTGAAAATGTGATGAAGAGTAATTAAGTAAAATAAATAACCTGTTGATTATATAATTTAGCTTTGCTAAAAAAAATAATAGCTCACCTGAAAAATTAGAGCCTAGAACACTCTTGATGAAACTTGAGGCAAGTTGCAAATTTAGACTGAAACTAATAGTTATCTATGTTCGAGTCATGTTAAAATCAATCACCTTCATTCTTAAGTATGTATAAATTCTACATACAGTAACTACATTACATCATTTTTGAACTGGAATTGTTAGCAGAAAGCAAGGTTCATCTGATGGAGGAGTGTGTCCTCTCTGAGTGACACCATCTTGGATTTCCTAGGTATGGTGTTTTCATATCATTGAAAATCAAACTGGGAAACGAGTATGGAGTGACACTGCAAATTGCTTACAGAAGCAATATCTCTGATGTGAATAACAATGATGTCATATGGCAATCATTCACATTATCTCATTGCTAAGATCAATGACTTCAATCTGACATTATGAATTATCTTGATTCACATGATTCAGTTGCTTCATGAATGACACTGCATTCGTTCGGATTTATCAGGGTTCCTCTTTATCAAAAGCTTACAGAGAGTTATCTGGTTCTGAGATAGTAGACCCAGAAGCTGCAGATTATACTGAAAGGTCCAAAATAATTATGAACAATCTTTGTAAAAGGCTTCAAATTCATTCATTTTGGATTATAACTTCAGTATTTATACTTTTGTATTATATATCTCTGTTATTCTACCTATTGTTGAAGTCTTGTACCTCGTTGCCTTTTAGAAAAAAAATGATCAAAGTATATGAAGTTAAAAAATAATTCATTGAAGAGATAAAGTCAAAAAATGTTACAGAGGAGGTGTTATTTTGCAGATAACAGTATCTTATCAGCGTCAATGAAAGTTCATATTGCTCAAGTGGCTCTGGTACAGTTCTTTCACTAGTAATTCTTACAAGCGGAGAATTGAACATTGCTGGAAGAGAAATTTTGGCATCCACGAGGGCTGAGCTGGGGGGGGGGGTTAAGACCACCCAAGAAAATTAGGATTTATAATTGCAAAATGTTGCGATCTGAGCATATATGGAGGTCTTCCTTAATAGGCCTATAACATTTAACTTAATAAGTATGTTTTTGAGATTAAACTTTTGACTTTTATTGCACTTCAAAAAATCACGATTGTTTTCATTTTACCACTCGCAATGGTAAAGTTTAACAATGTTTATCACATCTCACAATCTACCTGAATCCCCATGGAAACCTCGGGGATAAAAACAGAATGAGAATTCCTCTTTACAGAAGGGGATTTCTCCGTTTCCCACCATCTAATGAAAGCTCTGCTAATGTAGTACAGTGTATATAGCTCTGCAGTTCATAAAGATTGTGAAAAACCTCTAAAAGATGAGATACATAAGCAAGAATCAACAATAAAAATGTAACTTCTGATCTGCCCAATCTTCAGAAATCAATGTTTCATGAAAAATAACATTACCTAGTGTCACTTACAGTTCAACTAATTGGTTTACTGTTTGCGGCAGTTACTTGTATTCTTCAGGAATTAAAACGAGATGACTTTACAAGCATGAGAACAATTCAAACATTCTCTTAATTCCCTAAGTACTGTTACAAAATATCGCAATACATTTATTTTTTAATGGCATGGAACAAACATCATTCAGATAAGTTCCCATTAAAATTTTTAATGGGATGGATGGAATAAAGCTTCCTTTGTGCATATTAGTTCCCATCAATACAACCTGGTTCAGTTCCTACGTAACAACCTCAATTTCTATAGTGGCGACCTTACTTCCTGTTCAATCAACCTGCCCATGTTGTTGGGATAAATCGTTACATTACAATGTTCATCGCGATTCAACTGTTAAGGAACAATTAAAAAGCCTTTGCTCTCTAACTTCTTTGTTTACATTTCTAAAATGTGGTAAATGATAGAAAAATCACTTTTCTGACATTAACTATCTAAGAGATTTAATATCTCTGGGAAGGGCATTCTAGTCATTAACACATAGAGAAGGACATTGCCATCCATAATTATTTCTAAATAAATGATTTGTTCATGCTGAATGACTGATATCACCGTATGAGCCATTCTGCCATCGACATATGCACAAGAAAAAAAGCCTTAGTTATATAAATAAATATAGCTATAAAAGATGGGATTTATACAAACACATGCACAGACCGCCTACCCCCTCCAAAATACTAAAACTAGATGTTAATTTTGTTCAAAAAATGGCTGAAGATATATAGTGCTTCTTTAAGACAGATGTACCTACATTGAATGATGGGGTTTGAGGGCCAAGTCCTCGTGGGTTGTCATCACATGGTGTAATACACACTTGTAGTCTTACACCCCGTCTACGTACGATCACAGGGACATCTTCCTCATAGATGGTGGCTGATTTTGACACCTTGAGGGATGATTTTCTCTCTATTGGCAACGGCATTTATACCTAGTATGTTGAATTCACTCATCCCAAGAACATAGAGGTACCCTCAATGGTATTATATTTAGATCCTTTTTCCATACTTATCTTACCATCAGAGTTGGACATAATCTGGTAATTATGAATTCTCCTGAAGGAATTTCTGCTGTTGAGTCAATGTTTAGACAGATACGAAGGTGTATAATTTGCCTTCTACTAAAGAAAATATGTTGGCTGTAATGTAATCACTCTAGTCAGTTCTGTAAACCCATTGAGAAAGTTTATATGCATTTCATGTTCTTCATTTGTTCACACATGTACTTTCCTGAAAGACGGAACCTTGTATCAGTCTAAAGAATTGTGTCCTGGTGTTTTGTTTTGAACAGCAAAATACATCCTTTTACTGTAAGGTGTCTACTGTCAATATTTCTAAGCCGATTTTATGTTCCACGTCACTGAGTCTTAGATGTCCCAGCAACAGCCTACTTAGGAATAATGAGGTAAGTCCATAACAGGTAAAGTCAGTATTTCCCAATAAGAAAACATCATATTGCTTAAAATGTCAGTCATACCATTGGTTTTCATACCCTTTTCATGTGTTTGATTTCACACCTTCAAAAGACCGCTTCATCGACATTATTCTTATTCATCCCCTAGGATTCCAAGTAGCCTATTCAAGACAGTATCTCTTTATACTCTTTTCTATCATAGTACTACACATATCTTAAATCACATTCTCAATGATTTTAACTATTACGCCAAGTAGCTCTGGTTAGCATAACCTGCCTGGATTGACGTAAGTTTCTAAAGCACGAGGTGATCAACAGATTATTATTTCACACATGTATCTTACAACATATTAGCAACACAAAAGGCAACAATCAGGTATCTTCCTATTCAGCTATATGTCTGGTTCAATAAAGGTTGAATGATTTTCTTGAGGGTATGATGTTCATTCTTGTTCCTAACTTGAATTTAATTTCAAAATGTAACGATGGTTACTCCAAAAAATTCATCTCCTTGCAGAAGCCCTGTAAGTTTTACACTTCAAAATGTCCCTCCTTCTATATCTAGAAAAAGTACCATGGATAAATCAACTATTCTCATGTGAATATTCTAATCATCATGGCATTTTGTAGAATTAGTCATAATCGAATAGACCATCCATAAAAGAATGCTATAGTCAGTTAATGCTAAGGCTTCTCTTTAATAGCAGTTACGGCACAAAATCACATTAGTAGTAATGCCATGGTTGCGTGGATATAACTACCTGCTAGGATATATAGCATCCTTTCCTAGTCTCCTTCCTCCTGTCAAACTAACTTCTAACTTACCACTAATTTAACTACTTTAGCTACTTCAAAATGTGTTCAAATTACAGGTGAACCTGTATATAGTGAACACTAATGGAGCCACAAAATAGTGTTCACTGTAGGTAGGTGTTCACTATAGAGGGGGTTTTATACAGGAGTCAATGTTAAATAAGTCTTGAGGTGGTGTTCACTAAATACAGTTTTTACCTCAAATTAAGGGGCAATTTGGGGACTATATCTTAGACTGAGTCCTGGGAATGTTAAATCGTCAGATTTAACCAAATTCTCAAGTTCAACCTCTAAGGTCTAGTAGTCTTAATCAAGGATTTAACATAGCAGCAATGAATAGAGTGAATAATCAAAAAAATCATCCTGATATCATCTCGCTAATCCAGATATCATCCCAATATCTATTTTGATCCTAAATATGTGATTTATCATTTGCTTTTATATACCTGTTAATTGCTTTGACTGTGGTATAATAACAAACATTTCTTTGCTCATCTGATTAACTAATTTCACACTAAGGACAATTTGAAACTTAAAGGCAGAATCAGAGCTAGAGGGAGTGACATAATTGTAAGCAACATGTAGAGTTGACCTACCAAAATATTCCTTGCAATCTCAAATGTAATATCCCCCAAAAGATCTACTATATAATATATTAGTTTGGTGAAGTTATTAAGGATTCAAAGTGCCAAAATGGGGGAAAATGTTTAAATTCTCCCAAATAAAAGAAATGGTAGCCATATTTATTGAAAAATGAATGCATTATTGTAAAAATCTTAGTTTTCCTCAAATACACGCTTTGGGGATTTTTAGAAAATTGACACGACAAAGAATGATATGAGCCTAAATTATTCTAAAATTGAAACAATTTTTATCAAGAGTACTCTGAGGATCTTGCTTGATTTGATTCTCCATTTAATACACACTTTGTACTAAGCAAATTATATTCAGATAATGAATGAATATTTGAGATAAACCTGATATTAACATGTTTATTCCATTTATTCAATATAGAGGTTCACATGCTAAGAGTAGATTCAGTGCATTTTGTGAAAATCTAACTCGGGAGTTTCATTATCAACTTAAACTCGTAACTAATTTCCAATGAAACTAATTTTTGTAACAGAATAGTGAAAAAGAATTTCGATAAGCTATTTTCTGACTTATTCGATACAGAGAGATGTATATCAAGATGTCTATCAAGTGAAAGTCTAAATCCCTTGCTGATTGCCACCCATCACGTAAAAACATGCTTGCCTACATTATGATAAATCGTGGCATCTTCTTCCTTCTCAAGTCAGTCAGAAAATGTGACGAGAATCAGATTTGCCAGCACATATACACAGAGGCCTAAAAGTGAGTACGAGTAGTAGCTCTCTTTTAATCAAGTAAAATCCAACTATTGAACAAGGCATTAACTTGCGAAATATCATCAAACACCAACCACCCAATGCCAACCGCCGTCACAAAAAACGGAGACTATAACAATACGTGACCACTTTTTGGAGAATATAAAAAGGTACTGCTCACAGTATTGGTACCATAGAGAAATGCAATAACCCACTCTGAGGAATTATAATTTGCATTCCTCTGAATGCAGGGCTCCAGACATCATCTGCTACATTCTTTCCTTCTTGGATGAACAAGGTACGAGTGAAACGAGTGGAACACCTCTGTTAGTAAAACACTTTAGAGTGTCAAGCCCTTACAGACTGAATGTGAAATGAGCCTCTATAAGTTGAACACCTCCCAAGTTGAACACTTTTCGGAGGTACCAAAGATATTCCAGTGTCTAATAAACAGGTTTTACGGCAGTTTGATTTTTGCTTCTTAAAGGAGATCTTTAGTGTTAGTTTTTAGGCTTCAGGGAATAATCAATAGAATAAAACATCCATGAGGTGTTTTACCTCAACAGCATAGGCTGGTGTTTCATCATTCAACTAACTACTTGGCAATATAATCTATAAAACTCCACCTATGGTCATCAGAAGCCAATATATTTTTAGCATAACTAATTGAGGCTCGAGTGGTCACTACTGGATAAATAGCGATAAATAAAATAAAATAGCGTGATTTAATGAATGTTTAAATTTTTAATTTTTTTAACGAATTTAGAATGACTAGCATACAGTTCACTATTTTACTACCTATTCTGATTTCAAGAATGAGCCAACATATCAATTTGACTTGCTTAGAATAACTGGATTTCTCTGCTTAGGAGAACTTCATACAGAATTAGAGGCTATATGCAAATGATAGACCAAATGCATATTTCAACAGGAAGATAATTCTCTTTGGAATGACAAAACATCAGTAATAAATCTGGAAGTTTTCTTGGTATTTTAAAGAAAAATAAATTGCTCCCCCTTAAGACACATCTTTTGTTGACATCCCATGTGAGTGTTTCATAATGCTCATTAGTTGAAATATGATATAGCACTCAGCATACAATCATAATATATCATTTATTAATACCAGCATTTCATTGTAAAGTATAAACGTACATGTGGCATATAGGATTTTAAGACAAAGTTTATCATTTTAATATTACAATTACATGTACACGTGTATATCAGAGAGCGAAACTGGCATTCGGAAATTGGCTCAGACAAGCTTTGCATAAGATATACTTTAGCCCAAATTCTTGAGTAAAAAGTGTATGCGACTGATTCAATAATTGTTTGTGACATAAAAATGCTGATATCAAGTGATCTAATCTACTTCCAAAGAATCTGTAATGTTTTTAGCTGAAATGCGAAATTGAAGGACAATGTTTTATCACTAAATGTATTATCTTATTTTTAGTTGATTTATCAATTTAGTACCAACATTCTGAGCCCTAGAGCTCTGATCAATCTGTTCTCGACATATTGAGGCCCAGATCGATTGTAGTTTCAACATTATCTTTTTCACAAAGTATAAAAAATTGAGGAATAATTTAAAACCCTAACTCATTTTGAGTATCATGCTCAAATATCCCAAATAATATATTCTCATATATTTCAAATAAGACAATCCCAAATAATCAAATTTTTTGTTTGATTTTGTTTGTTTTTCATACTTTTTCACTGTTTTCACTGTAATTACTCTAACATAGAATACTGTATCGCCACAGACTTATACAGATTCTTAAGACCATGATTTAAATGTACATACAGATACCTTACTCTAATAGGTTGATTTTGCTCCCTTAAAAGAGAGCTTCATCTACATTATATACTCAGCTCCGACATTCAAAGAACGCAGGATATTTCTTCAGTGTTGGTTGGTTGGCTCAAAAGCTGAGTCCAAGTGATACCAATGTTAAGTAGCCATGTCAACTATGTTATTACCTCCTCTCCCCTATATCCTTACTTACTAAGGTATGGCCCTCGCTTACCCCCTACCTTTCATACTTATTTTCCATCACACACATCACCTAGGCTACTCATTCCCAAAGGCCCTTCCTTGTTATTTATCATTTAACGTTCTCCACTTTTATATTCTTAATAGTCAATCCTTACTTCAACTTAAGCCTCATGGGAGACAGAGTGTCACATCTTTAAATCTACAGTCCCTCTTTAGCTCTTCACACAATTGAATATAAAGCATGTATTAGGTGCTATACTCATTAACAACACCAGGACTTTGATTGTTTCTTTAGATCCTAATTTAATCCGATGTGTGTTTTCACATAAATAGACGAATATGAAATGCATATAACATGTACATCAATGTGTTTCCAAAATCAAGGTAGCTTCCAATCACTTTAACTGTTATCCTAATAAATCATTTATCTCCTGTGAACGTATAACGTAATTGCTTTTCCTAGTAACGGAACAAGTTGAATATAAATGCGTGTTTCCCTTCATCCACTAATGACAGCTTCGACCTACTATCAGCTTCGACCTACTATACTTATTCTGTAATGTAGTAAGTACATATGTATACGTGCAACTGATCTCCATAAAAGAAAGGGAAGTTATATTCTGATAATCTGAAAACAATCTGCCTTCACCTTAAGTTTACTTCTCGCATATGTTTGCTTTTACATTTCCTGACTTTGTTATTCCTGGTACCTTTCAACTTGTTTACAAAATTGTTTTTACGTACTATAAAACTAAAGATAGATATTGAACATGTATATGTATTACGCATATGTATATCCTATTGAAGTTTGATTTATATTACCCTTTGTGTGACTTGTAATTTTTCTATCCTCTTTCAATAAAAGACAATTCTTTCTAAGTCTATATCCAATCAGGCAGTGTAGTCATAAAATCAAATCATGCCACTATATTCTTTTTCTATAGGTACCCTTTAGCTAACAGTCAATCAAACTCCCATATAGCTACATTCAATAATTAAAATTGTAAAATCATCAGGTATAATCAGAGGCTAATACTATGTCAGAAAATTGAAGGGAATTCAGGGTAGATATATATACAGAGAGATAATTATACAACGAGAGATGGAAGAATACAAAGTTCAATGAATGATCAATGATCTACTAACTAATCAAACATCAATGGCAACCTGAATTTATTAACATTCCTAAAAGTTGATCCGGTTTCTATTTTGACATTTGGAAACCAAATAAATCAAGAGATACAACTATGAACATTATCAATAATCATTATTAGAAAGCATGAGCTAGCAGCTGAGAAACCGCGAATCGTAACAGATTACAATACCATTACATAATATGATGACATCTGTATGTCTATTGTAAGCATTACAGATGTAATTTCTACAAATCTTTGAAATTGTTTTTGTAAATTACTATGTGATCACATTTGAACATAAACAATTGATCAACTGTAACAACTGTCACTGAACTTCAAAAACTTCTGATTTTCTTAATACTCGAAGTGGTGAATTATTGTGACCCATATGTTGGATAAACTCAAACTGTCAAAATTAATTAAATCCGAGTAACAAAATATGATATAAATGAAAGCTCCTTGACGTCTCACTCTTTGCATGATATGCTCACATGCTCATTTTTATACATGCTATATTAAGCATTAATTGATTGATTTTAAATGGCCAGTCAAATGGGGGTGTTTTATACAACTATTATAAATATTATAAGTTTATTAATAAACAGGTCCCTAAACTTCACTTATTCCAACAAGGACAGTGGAGGTTTGGGTCAAGGATATTAAGATAAAAAACTTATCCTGTTATCATGTGCAGAGGTGATGAAAATGCCTCAAACGAAAAGGACATGACCATTAAAGAGAACAACATTTTGCATCTACAGTATGATATTCTTGTGTACTTTGATTTACCTACATTGAATTTAATCTTTAGAATGGACCAATTAGCATCTATCTAATCCACATTTATAAACAAATAAATAGTTTAAAGTTCCTTTATAAAAGTGCTTCAGAACTTGAAATACATGTTATAAATAAGTTGTTTGGAATTTGCTCCCAATCATTTCGAAACCATTGATTTTTATATCAATGTCACACTTTTTTAGGCAAATTCAATTTTAAGTAAAGTAGCGAGAAAACAAATTGATTAGATTATCATGTATTCGAACATGACTGTATTCACGCCTTCCATAAACTGTAAACAAAGTCAATGCTTCAGCTGGGTTATATTCGAGATCAATAACCCAGTTAATACGTGTAATGTGTGACGTCATAACGGTGGGTCGTAGAAATGGCGGACCATGATGAATATTCGAAACAATTTGGTGAGTTTTCATGTTCGAATCGTAATATAGACCTCAGAGCAGGGTTACTAGTTTCGAATAACATCCCGCTGGTCTCGGCACAAAAGCTTTCGAACCCCTCACTCCCTTCGGTCGTTCGGGGTACAGAAAACGTTTGTGCCGAGACCAGCGGGGTGTTATTCGAAACTAGAAACCCTGCTCTTTGGTCTATATTTCTTAATTCACTATCAACTTTAACAAGAGAATAAATGGCCATGAAAGAATTTCTATAAACATTCAAACATTGGAATGTGTTTTTTATTTTCCAGGAAGGGTGATGATATAATTCTATCAAGGGACAAAATGTGTAATAATATTAAGGTTCTTTATAAAAAGACAAAAACAGACCATCATGGACTCAAGAGACAATAGCCTATAGGTGTGAACAGAGAATAAGAAACGTGAGAAGTGAAATCAATTACTGATGCCACACCTATAAGGTATTCTTACATATCTTTTGATGACAATAAGCAGATATTTTATATTCGAACATGACTGTATTCACGCCTTCTATAAACTGTAATCAAAGTCAATGCTTCAGCTGGGTTATATTCGAGTATAATAACCCAGTTAATACGTGTAATGTGTGACGTCATAACGGTGGGTCGTAGTAATGGCGGATCATGATGAATTATTCGAAACAATTTGGTGAATTTTCATGTTCGAATCGTAATATAGACCTCAGAGCAGGGTTACTAGTTTCGAATAACATGCCGCTGGTCTCGGCACAAAGCTTTCGAACCCCTCACTCCCTTCGGTCGTTCGGGGTACAGAAAACGTTTGTGCCGAGACCAGCTGGGTGTTATTCGAAACTAGAAACCCTGCTCTTTGGTCTATATTTCTTAAATAGATGACATTTAAATCAGGATAAAAATGTTTTCTATAATTATGGCTGTAAATGTAAAATCACATGAAAACCAGATTGTGAAAAAACTAGAAAAATGGCAACAATAGACTACAACTCGTCAGAGTAGCAAATCCCACCAAACAAATAATATTTTATCAAATTGATCATCATTTGTAACATAATATTATAGGATTAAGTTTCAGTAATATAGCACATTGTCTCCTTTTGTTGGCCATTTAGAATTACTCAGATGCGAGTAGGTAGTAACCAGTTTCGCCACCAGGTGGCTGAGTCGGGGGAAATAACATGGCAGGGTAATACTACAAAATTCCCCTTAAACTTGAATATTCATCAGTTTTAGTGGTTCACTTTTCATATTACCCTTTTGTATCTGATAGTTATACAAATCAAAATATGCCCAGTAAAAGAAAATATTATCTGCCTTACACAAGAAAAGATATTTCACTTTTTGTGATTTTACAACATGGGCTCTATGGGGAATCTCCCCGACCTAGAAGTCACATTTTCAAAGGAAATTAAATTTTCAAAGTTGATAAACTCTTTTCAAAACCACATTTCTAAATGCAATTCTACATGTAGATTCTAAATATGACATCAGTTTGACTGAATTTTGAATTTTTGATGACTTAAATCAAGATTATTTCTACTCGCATATCTAGTATTCAGCAGCCATCTTCCTTCTTGGTAGATATTTTGAACCAAATATGTCAATTACAGTATTAGGGAAGGCATCAAAAGTTCAATGTCGGAGAGAAAACTAAATAAATCTATTTCAAATAAATCTCCTTCCCACAAAACTAAATACCATGAAAACTGATTGTGGACAAAATATGTTCATGTTGGAAAAATATCATAGATACAATGAAATAACCAATTCCCTATGATATGTTGACTATGATAAGTCAACATGATTTAAAAATGGCATTCTCATTCCCCGACACAAACCATATTAGACACCGCGACAAATTCCAATTGTCGTTTCAAGTATCATTGGCAGGTATATTGAAGAGGTGTGATCAACCATGAAACTCAAAGAGAGGCTTTAATTTCTACGCTGCGATAATGCAACCTATGTAATTAAACTTATCTTTTCCCTAAGAGGACATATTGACCTTATATCTGAGGCAGGTACCTGTGCTCAAAATGTAATGCATGTTTTTTTGAGATGTTCATGTTTTGTTCTTTATATAAAAAAACAGGTATATAAATTTAAAAATTATAAAATCATTTTGATCATAGACTATAAGGATTTTCTTATTTTTTATCAAACAGCTCTTTTAGAATTATATTTTGGATGTAAAACACGGTGTGCCATGGCATTATATTAAGTGGAACTAAAGTAGGAACTATCTGATGTGATGCACGTCTAAATCTCATCATTCAAACGTGAAAATATTTGACTTTGGCATTTTGAAGTAGAGAAACTGAAAAATTGAGTCAAGATCTTAAGCAAAATCAGATTATTATTAGCAAAAAATGAGGAGCTAAACAGAGAATCAATTTTATTTCTTTTTTTTAAATATCCATATGAGTCAATTAACTTGCTATATATCAATAGAATTTGTATGGCTCATCTCTAGACCAAGTTTGTAGAGGTAGACTCGATAAATTAAATACCAAGGAATAATCAATTATAATATACTTTTAGCAGCTGTCTGAACTGCTGAGATATTATCAGTAGTTCAGTTATCTTTTTTTGTAATAATATTTCTTTTTAACGTTTCAACACTTTCCCATTGATTAATTATATTGAACGTAAGTTCAAGTTTTTTAGTTTCTTTGGACTCTTATTTTTAGATTTCTTAATCAATTCAAGTTCATCTAACACAT